TGACTTGGCAGCGGAAAATAAAGTCACTGACGACCAAACTGGGTGCCGTTGGTCCGTCTCGTTTTCCGGGCTGGAGCCCACGTGACTCACCTTGTGCTTGGTTTGCGGCTTTACAGGACATGCCTCGCAACCTACACCAGTGGCGCGTTTGCTGCCGTCTCCTAATCAGATTGCCTGTTTAAAGTTTGTTTGGTTCTGAGTTATCTGTAGGGTAATGGCTAAATATGACGCGCGGCAGTGAAAGCTGCAAGGAAGCTATTTCGTCGATACCGCCTTATCTTTGCACAATAGCCAGCTGTTTGTGACCGTATGTTGTCTACACAAAGTGTGAGCGGCTTGACCCTGGATGTTTGCTTAGGGTATTAAGGTTTTAAGGTAAGTCCCCCTTCTCTCCCTCTTCTTATTCTTTATTTCATAGGTCACCATGGTTGTAAGGCAGCGAAGCATCAGTTCAAATGGCTGATGTACCGCTGTTGTTGTCTTTTGTTGCTAGGTGCGGTGGATTCGGGCAACATGACTCCATCTTCAAAGCAAGGATCTTACTGGGGACACTGCTAATAAACCGTAACCATGATTATGTACTAAATAAAGTTTCGAGATCGAATGGCCGAAGCGCCCTAGTTTCGTGAACCCACCGATTCCAAAACGTTTTCGGAGTATTTGGTCTGTTCAGAGTGTTAATCCATTCAGATAGCAAGCAACTACCCACGCTACCTCGGACTATCTCAGTAAGCGTTTTTGCCACTTGCTTGTTATTTCATAGATTGGCGACGCAATTACTTTATCTGGCTAGGCGTCATACCGGTGAGCAGCAAACACAATGCGGAAGGTTTGTCGGAATGAAGAGCACCTGACCATGACATCAAATGCGATTCGAGGTCAGTATTTCCTCCGTTTAGCTTCTAGAGCGTCATCCATTTAACCTCCATGAGCCGCTTTACTCAGTTCGCCCAAGAAGTATGTACAGCTATCTACATGAACCGACAGTCAAGCACAGTCATTCCATTGATATCTTCAACGCTTATCTGTCAAGTCCCTGGAACCTACTGTAGCACTGGTCGCACAGCAGGTTTATGGTCGGTCCCATAAACAAAACATTTTTATTCTACCGTCTCGATAAGTCACAGAGACTTCAGGATGTCATGCAAGCCACAACTAAAGAAGATGGAACTAAAGAATTAGACAAACTAATAAATCCAGCGGCGGTTTAGTCAAGGTCAAAACTGGAGTTGACGCAGCCTAGTCAGGCAATATTGCCTTTCACCTTGAGGGTGTAAAGTAGCCGCGAAACCGAGTCTGTTTACCAACGCTCGTCAAACGGACATCTACGACACCAAGGATGCTATGTCGTTCGAATGCCTTAACTTTGACGGTCAGCCACATTACACAAGCTTTGCTGCGGAAGACCCGTAAAGCTGGCTTAGTCCGTCGCAACGCTTTGGATCACTGAGTTGAAGAAAACGGAGAGATAGGATAACATTAATGAACTCCACGTATTACAATTAATTCAGCGCATAGTTTACCGTAGACCCATACAGAACCACGAGTGTTGTGACGTACGTAGTTGAAATCGAATGAATCATGTCTGACACACAGTTCAAGCTTTACGCCACCGCAGAGTTGCGATCAACATGATCAGGGGCAGTCATTAAGTGGCGTATAGGTATCACAATAAGCTTTGAGGATGTTCAGACACCGATGCCTTGGCAGAAACCATTGTGGATTTTACTGGTCCATCTCCCACAAGAATCGTCGAGCTCTTGTGGAAACTTCATGTGACGTGTAGATTAGAGCTAAATAAATCCGGACCGACAACAACATGGTTTCTTCCGTGTCCTTTGGTTATTTTAACAGACGGGAGTGCAAGTCTACAGCTGCCACTTAAATGACACTTCCTGTTTGGGCGAATTCATATCGAACAGAGAAAGCAAGACAGTAGTACGTGAACCTTCAGCATCGTTTCGTAATTCTAATGACAGTTCAAGGGTATGAATTGCGTTGTTCCGTTTTGTTACTGCAAGCTCGTGCCAGATCTCTTGGAGGGTGAAGGTTGTTACGCTAAATTTCCAGTTGGGTTCAGATACCGCAGTCGACAATTCCGACAGAACGAGTTTGCCGAACTCTTTCCTAAATACATCAGTGATTCAAAAGCAAACTGTTTACCAGATTAACAATTGCAAACTTCTGTAAACCGAGTCAGACAACCGCAAGCATTTTCAGTTTTATTTATTGGAATTCCCCGTACAAAGCATTTGAGTAGTCAAGTCTAATATCGTGTTTACTTAGCGTGTGTACAACCAACCTACTTAGTCAAAATTGTCTGATGGTAATATATGAGAAACTCTTCGTCAGACTTGCTGGAACGACACGAAAGGGTTAATGGCCGTTAAACCGAACAGAATACCAAAGATCGTAACCTACAGCTACCACAACCTCTTCCAATGTTTTATTTTGTGCATTAAATTTTCTATATCGAAATCCTTCCATTTCTAGAGTTTAGTAAACCCATAAAGAACTCATCAAATTCACGGCCTACTGCGAATTCACTGATTCCACGTTTCGTTATGATACTCAAAAAGAGAATCCCTGTGGCTAAAACATGAAAATGGCATACAGAAAGCATTTGAAGTTTCCAACATGCTTAGAGCTGATCAAAGATTTATGAGTTAAGAGTGCTTTTGAATGGATTGTTGATGTACTTCAGTTCATCCGAAGCGTCTCCCTCTATGGTTGCTCCATTGCTATTCTCTACAGGATACCCACCCTTGTGTGATGGATGAGATCGAAACAATGAGGGAAAGGGGCAGCGAGCACACTGAGAGGCTAGCTGTCCAGTGAGTTTGCAACTTGCTAGTTACAGAAGGTACTAGCTAACAACTCAGACTCAGCGAAATAGACAAGGCCAGAAAAATGCCAGTCAAGTAGGAATCAAGAAAACAATTCAGGAAGTTCTAAACAATAAAATGAGAAAACGGATGTTGCAAGGTGATATCAATTTGTGCTCTCTGATCACATGCAAACGAGCAACGTACTAAACGATCACTGAGAGAAAGAATCAATAATTTGAATGCTCACAGAAGGAAGAAGTAGGCACAGAACGTCAAAAGCTACAAAGGCATCGGAACTGATGAAACAAGCATCGTGGTCCCCACGGAAGCCTCAGGGTGACAATCAACTGTTTTTGTACACAGAAGTCAGAGCGATTGCGATGGATGGTCACAGACTCGGCGAACTAGATTGCGGCAAATAACCGCGAACTCCAAGTCCGGGTCAACTTGATGGCCTGTGCTCAGTAAGTGCTTGGCAATCGACGAGGTCGGCGTTTTGAAGCTTAACGCCTGTCCTCGTGTATGACCTCTCGTAACGGCATCAATACATTTCGGAATGTGTTCTTCGACCTGCTTACGCAGACACCGATTCGTTCTGCCGATGTAACTGCTTCCGCAGCTACAAACAAAGTGGAAATGCATTTACTATTTTCTCTGTAGCTGCGGAAGCAGTTACGTCGGCAGTACGGATCGGTGTCTGCATAAACAGGTCGGGGAATACTTTCCGAAATGTGTTGATGCTGTTACGGGAAGTCATACATGAGGAGAGGCGTTAAGCTTCAAAATGCCGACCTCGTCGATTGCCAAGCACTTACTGAGCACAGGCCATCAAGTTGACCCGGACTTGGAGTTCGCGGTTATTTACCGCAATATAAATGCCAAAATGCTCAAGTTCGCCGAGGCTGTGGCCATCCATCGCAATCGCCCTGACTTTTGTATACAAGAACAGTTGATTGTCACCCTGAGGCTTCCGTTGGGACCACGATGCTTGTTTCATTACTTCCGATGCCTTTGTAGCTTTGGACGTTCTGTGCAGACTCCTTCCTTCTGTGAGCATTCAAATTATTGATTCTTTCTCTCAGTGGTCGTTTAGTATGTTGCTCGTTTGCATGTGATCAGAGAGCACAAACTGATATCACCTTGCAACATCCGTCTTCTCATTTTATTGTTTAGAATGATAAAAGGAACGCAGTACTTCAACATTCAAGGAGTGCTGAGCAAGAATAACTTAAAGGGTAGCTATCAAGGAGGTAAATCACTGGTTTCAGTGATAGTGCCTCACTAATTTATTTTCCCAAGTTAGAACAACTATCCGTTTCTTTAAATTGCAATATGGAGACCTTGTACACGTCTAAGTAGGTTAAACTACAGTAGACACATAAATTAGAGAAGCCAAAATATGTGTCTCACAACCTCCTGGAAAGGGGTGTAAGTGTAGAGGGTTTTTCTGAAACTCCACTGTGATGATGCTTGTGGTATACAGAGAAGCGGCTCGATAGTAATAATGTTGAACTCATTAGGATTGTCAACCATCAAAGCCAAACTGTTGGGAACCGTCATTGCAAACAGATTTGTTGATATAGAATGGAGGAGGCAGGACTTCTAATTGTGTGACGCTCAATCTTAACTCGGCCAGCCTGACAGTGTCGATGACGAAGATAGATCCCACATCGCCATAACCGAACTCCTACTTGTCAATGCTATGTACAGGGATACATCTGGAATATTCGTGCGTTGACTGAAACATCCCCGGTGGCATCTCAATGTGCGGCTATCATAAACCCATGACTCGTATTCGTTATTGTGCTCATCTTACTAATTGGTCGTAAGCAGTGGCGTCAATCGCACACTGATCCAATTGATTTGATGTAACTCTTAGGGAAAAACCAAATTTTGTCCAACGCATACATCAACCGATGGATTCAAAACTTCTTTCATCTCTACAGAAGCGTCTTTGCCTGAAGTTATGTATAAAGCGCAGTCTACCAGCCTCTTGTTATCTAAGCTTCGTCAAGCAAAGCATTTCTAAAAATATACACAAACTGTATGTCAAAATTTCGGTCAAAATGTTGCAGTTATTTCAAATTTCTTCTCACACATATGAGGTTCGGCAAGTGTGAGGTGATATTACGTTTGGCAACGAGTTATATGCACACATCGCCTTATACATACCTGATAAGCTGTTCACATTTAGTTTCTGGAGATGAATTATTCTGAACATGTTCAAGAAGTGCCTGAAAGAACAGATTAAATGAAAAGTAAGTTGATGAATTCTGCTTGAAAGGACCCAAAACTGCGCGTACATTGTCGTGGTTTGTAAATCGCTGACCGAACTTACATTGCAGATCCTTGGTAATAAACCTGGAGCAGCCTGAGTTGCAAAAAGAGAGAAGGGGTGTTGCTTGATTGGAAACATCCCAGAATGTATCTATCTTATGCCACATCATTGCTAAACATATGAGGAATAATCAGTTAAAAAACCCCGAAGCACGATCTCATTCAGTTGGTCAATTTGATAACGTTGACCGTGCGAAATCGACGGCCCCTTTTTACAAGAAAGTCGCACAAAAACGAGAAGAAACCTAAGTTAAGAATGGAGACACAATCACAAATGTATATAAGTTGTGGTTGTGACTTACTTCAAGTAGGTTAGGAACGCGAAGAGGTGCTACCACCGTTTCGTGTGCGTGTGTCAATACCTCACCAGTGGGCGCTTTTATTCCGCAACAAATCGAATAAGGGTAAGTGTCTTCCAACCTTTCTAAAAGCATACTACTTTTTGAAACTGAACAACTCTTGTACAGAACTTCAAAAATTAACTGAGTATAAAGCTCTGATTGCTTTGTCAACAAGATCGTCGTGAAATCATTAGTTATTGATTATTAGTACATTCTGTCCATTACTCTAGCCAATGGGGTCAATAAATTAAACAGCACGTATGTACACGCCAGCTGGGTTAGGTGAAGACAGTTTTATTCAATCCAGACTGGAGGAGTTTGAGCAAGTCCAGTTCTATAAACAACAGCTACAATCATGTTGTATGCTGTGCATGAAATTAGCACCGGGACGATTGCCTTAATCCCTGCAGCAAATCATAGGGCACTATTCTTCTCGCTTGGATTAACAACGTAGAATCCCCTAGCATGATTTAAAAGAAGGTAGTCTGGAATCTGTACAAGTCCAGCTAATGCCAACAATATTTCAATAAGAAGAAGACGCTAGTTTCCGGAAAAACCAGCTTGACAGGGAGTGCATTGCAATGACCTGTTCAATCCGTCAGTAACCATTGTGATACGTGTTGCACACCGCGACTTGTTGGCTTAGTAGTAGAAACTTCTGCAGATCTTCCATAGGTCCCCGGTTCGAGCCGCAGTCCATTTCTGTCCACTTGACGACTAGCTGTGCGCAGGAACCTAGTCTGCATGGTTGAGAGAGGACGGGATTTGGCACTTATCTGTCTTAGCTACATTCCAAATGGCTAAAATAACCACAATTCACTTCAAGGTACACAGCAGTCGAGCTTCCGACGGCACGTCGTTGCTCAGTCCAACAACGAGCGCCTAAAATGACCTCTGCTAGCTAACCAATTAGTTTTTGCTTGTATATATATATATATATATATATATATATATATATATATATATAATGCCCCATGCTGAGGCTGATGTTGCATTCATGATGCTTCTTCACCACAGTTGAGCTAAACCAGCTTACCCTTAAACTAGGTCTTTTTAATGTGGATAAAGTTCATTCCACGTTATTTGGTTTGTTCTGCGTACTTGATAGTATTCTGCTAACTTGCACACGTCATTCATGCAAACTGTAGTAACCTTGCGTAACTTTATCACGTAGTAATTTTTAAGTAACTTTCGGATATTTTGTACTTATCGCGGATTCGCTTATAACCAATTTACTCCATATGCTAATTTAGCGACTACTTATGTCGTCATCTAGGTTTACTTTATCCGATATCTTTTCTATGATATTGGCATTTCGAATGATTGACTGTTGTTTGACATCCCAGGTGTGGCTGCGCTTGATGTGCATGTTGACAAGGTGCCTACCTGTCTACTACCCACTGCCTCGTCCATACTGGCTCCAGGAGACAGTTGGCCGTCGCTGGAGGGGACGGGGTGCACGGTCCTTGTGGTCGTGCTAGGCTCCAAGAGTGGTTCCATGTACTCAGTGTGGAGCGGACTACGGTCCAGCCACCGCCTTGTGTGCACTCGATTCCCCAAATACGGCATGCTTGTGTTTGCCTGTGAAGGAGTGTGGGCCGGCTCCGTTGATGAAACGTGGCTCCCATCCACATGCTTCCCGGTCTTATTCCTTCGTGTTTACATGGGATATGGGGTGTGTGGATGGAGCTGTGGGTAGTACAGCGCAAGTCAACCATGGTCCCCCTGTAGGCGCATGCGTCCTGTGGCTGGCCACAGTGACTAGCGAATCCGAAACCGGTTGTCGCCAACCATATATATATATATATATATATATATATATATATATATATATATATATAATCTGCAGAGGATGAAGTACGGGACAAACTCTCTGTTATAATACTTATTTTGTAATTCGTGCTTGAGAATTTTTCAGCATTGTTCCTCACTAGTTTTGTGCTCACTTCCAATAGACTTGGACTCGATGTAACGGAATTTCTGTAATTGCCGGCAAAACGGAAGCAGAAGTTCCTCATAAATAATTCTGAAAAGAAGCATAATTTATTCATATAAAGCCAACAACTCAGGCTGCTACCGTGACTTCGAGGTAAAACTGAAGAAGGTAAACTTTCGCCTAAATGGCTTATAACTCATTACTCACAACATTTATAGTGCAAAACATTTCAGTGGGGAGTTCACTTTTTCTAAGTCACGTGAAAATAAAACGAAATAATTATTTTTGCCTCAAGTCTGCATAACAACAAGCCGCTAGTGACTAGACATTTTAATGGATGGAGAAGACACTTAGTACCCTACTAGTAAAGCGAAACAGGGTGAATTCTTTCCAGCATTTAGTCCAGAAAAGCAATTGCACTTCTTGCGGATACTTTATAAACCTATGCGCTGACTTCATCAACTTACCCAACATACACTAGAAATTGCGGTGATTTTATTGCCTGATTGGTTGGTTTGCTGGACCACACTTAAGTCATTGTTGGACAAATGTGGAGATTTTGTCTCAATTTTTCGCTTCCGTTCCCCATTGGCGGTTTCCTGTGTGCTTTTTGAGTCGACGCCTATAAGCTCAGTTATGAGGTACCTGACTGCCTTAATTTCTCCCACCTGACGCAGTACAACGCGTCAGAATCCCAACGGGCTAATGGTTTGGCATCGCCTTATACGGATTCATAGTCATAGAAAGCACATTAGGTGCCTATTATGGCGGCCGAAACGATGGAAGTTGGTTTTGCCAAACGTTTAGCATTGGTTCCTAGGTGTGCTTGTTACGTTTGCATTTTGATGAAGTCGAGTACGAATTTCGGTTAGGATTTGACTACGAGGGCAAACATTGAGTACGAAGCGACCGCGCACATGCAACTCCCAGCTTGGCTACCTACTGTATATTGGATACTGTACCCTGAATTGTACATGCAAGTAGAGATTAAATGTGTACAGCTCCATCAGATTAGGAGTACAAATGTCTTCCAAATTATTATGCACCTTTTGATACCATAATCGTCCTCCTATTTCTTGTGCAGCGTTTAAATGTATCACTGGGTTCATGAGTGTGAGATGTCATTGTCAGTAAGCAATTGTTTCTTGAAGCGAATGATGGTAAAATGAAAGTTCAACAAAGGTTTGAAGTGTTGCACAGGTTCGGTATCTGCGATGTGTTTTGGCAGAATGTTCCAATTATGTACCACCCTCCGTTCGAAGCACGGAGGTTAAGGGACTCGTTTCAAATTCTGCACCAAAAGCTTGTACCGGTGTATGCGTGTGTTACATGACGTCCGCAAGTGAAGCAGCGACCTATACATGAGGAAAATCACCGAGATGTATTATGTGGTGGATTACAGTGAGATTGACTCGTAACCGACCACTAGACAAGATGTATTGGGGCAATTTATAGCACCGGTATTCGTATGTTAATCCTCGTAAACGCTTGACTAGCCTGGTAGCGACGGGTTGTACCCATTCGATCCTCTCTACCTCACCTCTGTTGATTGGAGAGTAGGCAGGTGAGCCGTACTGTAGCGTTGACCTTACGGTGGAAGAGGAAGGCCAGTAGTAAGTTCTTCAAACCAATTGTAGGAACAGAGTTTGATCGTCCAAAGCATGCACATTCCGTTACGATATAGCCTGTCTGTGTTTTTCACGGACATTAACTCGCAAGGTGAGAGTACGCAAATGTCCTTCACGGGAGGTGTGGGATGTAGCAGTTGTCTGTGCGGGGTGAAATTTAGGCCGTTACCACACTCCCCAAGCGCACGAATACCGGCTTGCTTGGGTTAACCGGTAGGCGGACTTCTGCAGACCCATGGAGAGGAGGCTGAGTTCATACTGATGTAAGCCGCAGTATTCGGGAGTGTCAATCACCCTCCAAATCTTCAGGTCGTCTGCAAACATTGCACGCTGCAACCGAAGAAGCCACAGCATTGTGGCTTGTTGCACGCTATTGTCGATAAAATAGGATAGCAGTGACGGGTTAATAGCTGTAACCAAGAGACCATCCTAGTGTGTTTTAAGGCTTTTGGCGGGGTTCCTCCGTAGTACACACTCCCTTCGGTGTTGTAAAGAACGGAAGCAGCTTTTCAGCCATATAAGTCCACGGCTCAAGAAGTAACCCTCAAACGATTGGGTCACGAAGCTATCAAGGATCGACTGTTCATCATATAAATACCTTGCATAACGGTCAATCCTTTGTTGCACGTTGTTCACTTTTTTTGAGCGTTTCCATTGCATTGCTGTCTGGCTGTCTGTTCGGCTGCCTAGTATCCGTTGCCGTTCTTTTCAAGTTTTTCAGACATGTTAGCCGGCACCTGAGGAACCCTGCAATAACGGCGAATGGTCCCTACACAGTGGTTCCGATCCCCGCTTCCATGAAGCTCACGACCACCTTAACTTGACACATAGGAATTCATCGCAGTGCAAGGAAATCTGACGCCATGGAATTTGACAAGCGGGCGAAAAATGAACGATATGTGACTGCGGATAGCGATGCAAGCAATCGGTTCGAGTTCAAATCAATCCAACCAAAGGAAACTCAGTTTCAGTCACTGATCCAGCAATTACTTGCGGATAGATATCTCATCATTCTTGCCTATCGACACGTTCGCATTCGTAAAACTACTTGCAATTTCAACATGGAAACGGCTATGACAACCACATCTCATGTCTTGGATCTCATGAAGCTACTCGGTTACTATGCATAGACTACTATTTGATCAAACTAAAATCGTCGCATATCCGCTTACATAAAACTGATCATGTCTTTTTTGGTGTGTCACGTGTAACGTCGAGAATATACATTTTATTTTTACTTTTAAGTAGGAAGTTTCTCTGGCCATGTATTTAGGCACTAGATTGCTAAGTTGAGCTAGTGACTACGTACTTCACATTATTTTTCGGTCATTTGCATCCATAACACACAATTATCTTCCTGCATAAGAAAAGCATTTCCCTTCCTAAGTCACTGAAGATAATTCGTACGTCAGGCAAAATGCATCCAGCATGCCTGCATACATCTACTCGTACTGGATGCAACTTGACTGAAGGACAAACTATTTTAGATGAATTGCAGAGGAACATGCTTTCCTGACCGAGGAAATTGATTGCAAAAGGAACGCAATAAATTAAAAAACGTTAAAGAAGTCCAAGATAGTTTACAAGTGAACTTAATAATAGCAGATGACAACCTCTACATTTAGGGATTCGCCAACCTTATGCCTACCGTCTAACTCTGACTGCGTGCAACAGCGATCCAAACCGAGGAGAACTGGTGTAAGCCAGCCACTTATGGAATAAATAAATAAATATTTTATTATCGATAGGTGTTCGAGGCATACCACTGCAGGCATGATCATAATTTTACAGGCACATATGAATGCTCAAATACGATATTCAGTAAAACGTTTGAGATTGCACCGCACTCAAAAGTACGTAAGGAAAGAAATGCTCAGTAAATTTCTGATGTCAAACAGAGACAAAATTGGTGTGTGTAATACATATGCGGAAAATGGTGCCCGCGCGCAAATTGATGTTAACATCTGTAACGCCGAAGGTGGCGTACTGTCCAGGGTGCAGGTAGGTGGGGCTCTCAATAAATTTTCACAGGATAGTCTTTTCTCACAGAAGTTCTTCGATTAGCACAACTATAGTTTGAATAACTTCGAACATCTTCTAGGTCCAGCATATGCATGAGTACCGTGAGTCAAAGAGTCGGATGATCGTAGGTTGCAATAACTAGAAGAGGCCCATCAATGTAGTGAATAAAGATTATCCTAGAGGTACACGGAATGAGTCGGCCGGTGGCCGAGTGGTATGCGCGTCTGGTTTGCAACCATAAAGTCACCGGTTCAAATCCGCGTAGGGGCTGGCGTCCTCGCGGTATACTCAGCCCACGCGCGACAGTTGGCGGTCACGTGGCAGCGAAGCGCCGTTACGGAGTAGAGTTGGCGATTTTTTAACACTTAATGAGCAGAGTGTCGCATGAACTGAAGGATAAGGTCATCAATGAGAATAAAGGCGAGGGCGGAAGTTGAGGGGTGAAGTCTACACCAGATAGTTGGTGGCGCAGGTAGTTATTTCCCAATTTTCGGCTGGGATGCATGGAATATTTCATAAGGAAATGGCCAAAAAGTGACATTGAACCATTCCGCCAGGTGTGGGCCGGTATCCAAAAGATATCCGAGAAGGAATGACAAATGGTTTCAAGGTAAAGTGCAGTGGGATTATTCTGAAGAATATGATAGCATAGTTGTGGTCAGATCCATTGTTCAGAATGCGAGGATATCCCCGTAGGAGAAAATTGGTAGGAGATTAAACCGAAGGGATTACTTTCACAATGTGAAGATAGGTTCTATGATGCATGGATTTCAGTGTCGCCTACTTTCAAAACAGCGCTCAATGAGTAAGCGACAGGTGTTAAGAACCGGTAAAACTGAAATACCTCCACTCCGAATATTATCATAATAATCGACGGGTACTTCAATGTGAACTTTGGACTTAATCGCGATAACGTATCGCAATCCAACCACGAGGCGGGTACTTCAAAATCTACGTTTCAATTCCTAACCGTTGTGGCATAGTGATCGTGAATTCAGCCGTTAACCACTAGCCCACGAGTTCTACTCCGGCTGAGGCTATCTCCACCTGATTAGTCCAAAGTAGGACGGAACCGATCATGTGGCGTCAGCATTGGGATCAGCAACACCAAAACACCTGCAATTCCGATACGGTCCTGGGGATCGGATTGAAGGAGAGGTAATTCAGAGTTCAAAATGTCTCAATAGAGATTGCGGATTTCAGTCCAACACCAAGACAGGTAATCCAAAGCCCCGCTTTGAGATTCTTCGATCTCTAGTCTGATTTGCTTCTGGTCACAGTCCTCCTAGTATCAATTGATCCAACTGCAGCCATACTCCCAGCTAATGTGATCACAATCAGTTGACGAGACAAAGAAAAATATGGTCCCTCTTCTGTATGCATTGCGGCGCGAAGAAGTCTTAAGGCAACATATATGCACACGGTTTCGAGTGCATTCCGCAAACATTCGTTTCTATAGATCGAACCACACCAGAGGATTTACGATGTGTAAGCTCCACGCGATGCTTGTCCAACCTACCTAGTTAGTAGTACTGGGCTGTCGGAAACTTGATGTATAAATCTAATTCACAGATGACTGTGGGTAGTTTACCAGTGCCAGTGCTGGAACACAGGCTCAAATGCTGCGGCTATGATCAAACCTATGATGGAGAGGGGACTGGAAGTTGGGGAACCCAAGTTATATGCCGACTACCCAAACCAGCACATTACGAATTCCGCCAGCTTCCTGCGCTTGTCTTCGACTCCCCTTGAATGCTGCTAAATTTGTCCCAGTATACTTACGAGTACAATTATTGATACGTAGTAAGCCAATTCGGAACGTTGAAAATTAATCTGGGAAACGTACACGGAATAACAGTTTTGGATTTTGTGAGTAGTGTAGGTTTCGTAGCAAGTATAAGCCACGATTCAGGTTCCCACAATAATCTGCGTCGAAGGGGAATCGAACCCCGGAACCAGGAAGTACCGTGGGTCCGGGGTTCGATTCCCCTTCCAGTCAGATTACTATGCGAACTTTACTCGTGGCCTCTACTTTCTACGAAAATAACACCTTTTGCAAAGATAGGCATATTAACAGGAAAAATTTTTTCCAGCTCGACTATGATTAAGAACTCGGCTTGGAAATGAGAAACTGACCAACTTCTGTTAAATGCAGTGGGATGTTGGAAGTTAATGTTGATGAGGCGATATGAACCACAGTTTTTAGACTGCCACTTGAAAATCTTGGTTCTCTAACATATCAGCTGTTGCAAGGTTGTCTGATAACTGGCGACATTTGGAACCAAAATATGAGTGGTCGGATAATTCCGGAACTTCAAAGTGATTTTGGTGAAGAAACCCTTTCAGTCTGAACATAGACCCGCCGAAGTGTCATGTGCGAACACTACAAACCCGACCCACATTAGCCTACTTTGTGTAACCGCTCTCCGTTTTCGGTAGCTGGTACAGCAACTTTTACCAATAAACAGCTGTTTCCAACTTCTGGACCATGCTCTTCGTTCCGTCTTTGTTGCGTGTCCATGAGGCGGGTGAAGTGATCGGTTCAGTTACGTGAAGCAATATTGCACGGTCGTGTGTCACAACGCCATGAAGCACAGTATGGCAAATGTATGTTTCGGGAGGTAACCGAGACAGTTTCTTAGGGTCTTTGTGCGTTTATTTAGCATCTGGAGAAAATAGAGCTTCGTAAAAGATTGTCGCTAATGTAACTCCCTTGTTAGACTCCTATGAATGCGTAGAATTTAGAGTCCAGTTTGTATAACGCCTCTGTCGAGCTTGAAATCACCAGTGAAACCAAGGAACTGCATGCTCGTTTGGAGCTCGTCGTCAACGCGCACCTCATCTATCAGTGCAAGTAACTATGGTACAAACATTCTGCGTGAGCTTGAAAGGAAAATGGTTTATATTTTGACAGTTATGCAATGATTAAGAAATTCAACTAAATGTCACACGTGTATACATATGTATTGATCATATTTTGATTTGACATTTTCTTACAGATAATGACAATCATAATGAGATACATGGGAGTTGCGGAACTAATGGAATTTCAGAGCGATTTAGTGGAACTGCTCATAATTTATGTGTATCCTTTGCACCTGTATTTTAGCCATAAACGATGAACCAATGTCACCTTTCCAACTTCGCCGAGAGCAGTAACATTTGATGCAGTATACTTGAACAACATACGTATTTCTGGGAAATCGAACCCTATACTTATTTCATAATTAAATGTAAATTGTGTTTTTTGGTTCTGTGCGATTGCTAATCTGTTGCATTTAAAATGCGTAGGTAAAACTCATCTATAAGTATACTTTGCCTATGGAAAACTCACCTTCGTGCCAAAAATGGTATATGTCTTTCCTGTCCCCGTCATTCCGTATGCGAATATGCTGCTGTTATATCCATCCAAAATGGAAGCGATAGCTCGCTGTCCCAAGCATTCGTATATCTAGGCCAAATGGTCGCATAGAAACCAAGTTGAAAACTGCATACCTCTTGCTGAACTTTGTCCTCTGCACCATCCTCGTCCGCGCCGAAAATGTGGTCAAACGTGAAGGTGTGTCGACGCTTTCGGTTGTCCGCCACATGGTTACATCTTGCATCTTTGATGTCTGTTAGTAGCAGTTGGTTTCGGCGTATCGTTACACATTTCTCCACAGCATCGCCAAGCTCACTAAAAGCAAGACGATCAAGCGAGAATTGTAGGTAAGTGTTAAGAGGCATGGGTATCTCAAGTGAGCACGTGACCTTGAGCGGCAGGCGGCCTGTTTTGTCCGTCTGTTTGTGTGGGCAGCAGATAAGCTACTGCTCTCTGGTTGCGGTTGGTGTCCAAACGAAAAAACAGTTGCGCCTTAAATGATTTTAAATTATCCTGCCTTTGTAGGATGCAATAATTGGAAACAGTAGGGTTACCGGGGAAAAGGAAACATTGTTCTCATCATTTGAGTAGTGATGAGTGCATGTACTTTGGATGTTCACAAGTTAGCTTTAGCTTTTAACAATTTAACACTGAAAATTCTTACATTAAACGGCGCATGTTACAACCATTTGGGTCACCTTACTTGCAGTGCATGGCGAATTAAGGAATCTCCGTTCATCCAACGATTCGCTATGAGTATAACCTGGTTGCCGGTGTTCGCAAGTGAAGCTATCCCCCTTTAATTCGTATAAACATAATAACCCGTTTTAATATACACGGGGCCAACATTTTTGTGAAGATTATTTATGCAACAAAACGGATGGGTGTTAAATGCACAAAGTCCCATCGTGAGTGAAATAAAGAACAGATGTTGTAGCAAGTCACGTTATCTCGTGGACCCACAGTCATCTGGCTTCAAAATCATTCAAGGTAGATGTGGAACATAAAGGTCAAACATGAGGACTCACTGCACCTTGGAATTCCCCTTTCGGATCAACCACTAAGGTACATCACTTCACCTTAGCAACACACACACAGACACACTCTTGATCACTATGGGGCCAATCACCTAGCTTGGTCACTCAGACTATATGGGCCTTTGAACCTGTACCCTTAGCTGATATTTACGTTCATGTCATTAATTTGTGGTGCATTAGCCTGATGAAGAACCACTGAAAACGGGCTCACCCGCTAACATTTCTTCTTCTGCCTATTTCCGTGACAGGTAGAAATCCAACACATCTAGACTCACTCAAGACAGCCGTCACACGCCCGGAAAAGCACTGTACGCGCGTTTCAGCATTTCAGGAATCGTCAACAGTGCGCATTCCATCGGACCCGCAACTCGACTGTTGCCAATCCGTGGTTGAGACCACTGAGCTACGGGGGACGGCAACAACCATCGTGAATAAGTTACTAGATGTGTTTTGGCGCCGCTCACTATCCACTGACTTGCACGTTACTGCCGTGCAGAGGACAGGGTAGCCCCCTCACCAAGCGACAAGTTTAGCAAACTTAAGCCGCCAATTAACTTACCGCATTACAAGCAGTTTGGTCTGCGTACTGGTTAGAGAAGAGTAGTAGGGGAGTCTAGATGTGATGAATTTCTGCTTATACCATTCAACCCCCCTACTACTCTTCTGCGTTTCCGTGATATTTGGTCAATTGATAAGTATTCCCCTTTATTTATTTTGTTCAGTCCTATTATACTGCCGCATATTCCGCGTGAATTCGGAGCCACGAGAAGCAAAATTGGCTTCAGTAGGAAAGAAAGCTATCCAATTATTGTTGCCGTCCAAGGTGGGCGGATAGCGAAATCGACTTCTAGATGGCATTCTGGTGCCCTCGCTCAAATATATTATGCAACAAGCCTACGGCTAAGCTTTAGTGATTGCCCTGAATCAACAACTTAACAACAGAATTACAAAGTCAAGTATTTCCTTCTGTGTGTACTCTTTCTTTTGCTCGAGCCGATCAAGATTTATCGGAAGAACCACCGGAAGACTGCCCGACAGTGCTAGGGAACACTGTCCACATTGACTGTATAGAGGTGAGACTTGTTCGGCGGCTAACGCAGTGTCTGCACACTTTGCTGATTCGAACCACCGGGTCAGAGCGCATGAAATGTTCCAGCCAATCCCCGCCTACCCAGATGTCACACAAGCGCGGCTAGATATCATCTACTGGTAGCGGTCGACGCAGTCGCCAGTAGGGTTCATGACCCTGACCTATGTGCGCACAAGCCATTTGTATAGGCACTCACTTTATCCTGGTCCCCTGTATCACAGACACAGTGTGAACAACACCGCACACACAAACACACCGTTGATCGCCGTGGAGACAATCACCCAGGTTAGTCGCTCAGATCATCTGGGTTTTGAACCTGCACCCTTAGCTGATGTTTACGTTCACCTCATTCATTTGTAATGTATTAGCCTGTTGAGGAACTACTGAAAACGAGCTTGTTCGCTAAGATTTGAAGGGAGCAGTAAGAAGACTAAAACTGGTGGATGCAAGCATTTCGTATTGGCTTCTTCGTACCAGTACCAATAACTAATATGTGGGTTTACAGCTAATATGCAGTGATACCCGACAGGCTTAGGGTGTAGATAGAATGCGAGAAGTACGACTTCTACATCCCGGGATGTTTAAGCTAACGGATAATTTTTTTTGAACACACGAGACTGCCTTCATCTGGCTAATAACGAAGGCCTCGACAAACCGAAGGAAGCAATGAGTAGTGTGACCGCTAAGTTTAGCTCCATCCGATGACCCGAGACCGGTGGGTATTTGCCTATCGAGGAATCCCCTCTCTTCTCTACATCATCCGCAAACCATTTTTTATGAAATGCTCTATGTTTTCCTCACTTGTAACTATTACGGTTTTAGATCCGCGATTCGTTAGGTCTTATGGTGCAATGATTGCACCGATGAACGATCCCTTATCGGGGGAAGGGAGAGACAAATCAAACCGATATTCTCTGCAACTAATGCACAACCAATTCTTAATGCTCTTGCTGAATTAGTTCTGCAAATAATAATCGGACAAATGTCCTTTGAAATCTTCTTACATAACCTAGAATTATACATTTTACTCCCATGATATTAGAATAACTTGTAAACCGTTGGGAATCTGACCACATCTTGACAAGTAATCATAATGTTTTCTAATAGAATAAATTACAATACCGTGGTTTTTACACTTTTTCTTGTTTATAGCCAACCATGAAATGCCAAAACCATAAGCCCGTGTTAGGTAGCTGTGCACCGCCCATCTGCTTCGTATGGTCAATGGACACTCAAAGTTAGAGAATGCGGTAAAGCAAGTCTTCTTTATTTATTTACGTAACTTCTGTGTGTGTGAAACAAATAATTACCATAGCGGTGGCGGCCGTCTAGAAAACGACTAACACTCGGGCAAACGGATAGCAACAGGGTACCTGAGATTGCCATGAATCTTTGTTTAACTCCCGGGATCAAAGCTGCTAACAAATCCATGGAACGAAATGGAAGGAAACTCTGCATGGTTAAAAATGAGCTAAATATGGAATAAACAAGCGGTGCGTCTTACACAATTCAGTGCACTAAACAGTGCGGCCCTACATTATAGGAGCCATGCAGGAAGGAAGTTTGACACACAAACATAGCTTAGCAATTCACCATGACCGGGATTCACTATTCTCGGTGTATATGGATACGAAATAATCATTTTGAATCGGGGGAGTGTCAGGATCATAGGAGGTGCCGTAAGACGGAAAGCGTGTGTTTAAAGCCTGTCACCCGTGGAAGAACTCAATCATATAACGAGTACAAAATAAAGTTAGTAACGAATTTTTGGATACTTGTACTTGAGCTTAAAAGCTTATTGCTGCGCTGCACATGGAATGTGCAGTTCCTATTTGATAGTAAATTTTACCGGCAAAAGGACGGCGTAACCATGGGATATCCCCTCAATCCGTTGTTCGCTGGTATATTCATGTCGAAATTGGAGGGAACCACATTGCAAGCTGAGGTAAACAATTTTGACCAATACCGCCGTCATGTGGATGGTATATTTCTAGTGGTGAATAAATGCACCAATCTTGGTGAATTTCTCGAGCTGTTTAGCTGAGCCCAGGCAGCACTGAAATCTACCTACAAGGCAGAAACATGCAATCTGCCTCCGTATGTAGACATCTTATTAACTAGAAGTCCAGACGGCTCTATCCAGCGGCAAGGATACATTGATTGGCCAGTACACTACTGTTCACAGTTTCGTCCCTTTGAGATGTAAGCGAAAGGTGATCCATTGTCTTACCACAAGAGTACGTAGACAGTGCACACAAGACACCCTGGATGAGGAACTAGACATTATAAAGAATATGCTGCTTGAGAGTGACTACCCTGGTAAATATTTTGCAAAGCGTTTCGAAGAAATTCCAAAGCCGGTACCAGTTTTAACCACAGCGAAGAAGGATTTATTTAGAAGATTACCTTTCAATGGAGATGCCGCTGCCGAGCGCCTGACCAAAGGTCTTACAGCAGCAGTCAAATCGATATTCCAAGCAGCCAGGCTAAAATGTGCGGTTTCCACTTAGCCACTTGCTTGCTCACGAAATATGGGTACGTTGATAGTGCGGACCTTGTTCGCGGTTATTTCTCATTTCAAGTGAGACTGTGGAGCTACTTATATTGGGCAAACGGCAAGGCTCTTGCTCAAACGCGTGAAGAAGCATTGCACACACTGGTTGCATCAAGGCAGAACCTGAACCATTAGCGGCACCGTTTTGGCCCACGTTGTCGACACTGGGTACCAAGTTGATTTAGAGCTTGACTTCCGGATGGTTTACGGGGTCTCCCAACATAAATCCGAAAGTCTGTGCCTCGGTGCACTCGCAACAGTCGAGTCGATTTGTATCCGGTTGTGCCAGCTTTGTTTATGCTCGTAAACGAAGTTGATCTATACTCTTCAGTTTCCCTGGCCCGTGAGAATGTACGATACTAAGATCGACTGTCACAAATCAAGCTCGGTACTATGTAATCGAGCTATTAGATCAAACGTCAAGTGTTAGCCTCCTACTCTGAACAGCAAATGAGGTATGTGCTTTTAGCCATTGGGTCGATTTTATTTCTTTCTTTAACACTTAAATATGATTGTAATGGTCTGAAGATGAATCTTCGAAAACAATTGTTCACCTAACGTCTCGTATTTTCGAGAATTCAATCAGTTAACTCTCGGCGCTAAAGACGGCCTATGGAACACCGAGGGCCATACT